GTAACCTGACAGTGTACTGTGTAGTGCAAATAATTTGTATACTGCTTCTTGAAGAAATTGGTAATAGCTGTTCAGTGAAAACTGTTCTGAGACTAAATATATCAGTTATGCTATAATAACATGCCTTCCAAATATGAGATTTAAAATCTAAATACAGAGTTTTAAATGAAATTAATATGGCACACAAATATATTTGGATTTGTATCACACAAAATACAGCATTTCAAATTATAAATTTTAATGAAAAATTAAAGCAGACTGAATAAAGACCTAATCAGATAAGCTAGGAACTGTTTCAAGGACTAAGAAAAAGGGAATGGTACCTCACAGAGTTGCTGATAAACTTCTAACAGTAGCACAGAACTTGGAAGGAGTCTGTCACAGAGCAGTATATTCCATTTATGCCTATTTGTTGCTTAGATGCACGTGGCAAGGTTTTGTAATTCAGACCTTTTAGGAGCATAGTGGGATGGAAACAATTTTCTAAGAAATATGGAGGCCTCAAAAGGTCTGATGGCAAGTTCCAGGATCAGACATCATCCATACAAGCACACTTAATTATACAATAGCTCTACACAGAAATCAAACTCAACACAGAGCAAGACCTCTACTGAGAGAAATGGAAAGCTACAGTCTTAAAACAGACTACAAAAATAAATGCTGAAGAGGCTACTAAATTGGAAGGTACCTGCAATACTGAAGGGTGAAAAGCTGAAACAACACCCTGGGTATCTAGTGGTTGTAAAATTTCCTATTATTCCTACCACAAAATTACTTATGTCCCATGTGAAATGAAGGCTTCATTCCTCCTCACTATGGAGCCATCCTGAAGTGACTGCTTGTGAAAAGAAAATTAGTTTCTTTTGGTCCAGTGACAACACTAAAATAATGCTGAAGAAGAACAAGAGTACTTCTATTTCCACAACAAACAATACTAGATATCCAGCGGCTCTAGGAAGGCACCATTTGAACCACGGAGGACAAAAAAACCCCTACCTGTTATTTCTAGTTTAAGTTAGTGCCTATTAAATGGAAATTATTATTTGAAAAGTCTCAGCATATATGGGTTAATTTGAGGGAAACACATGTTGCTGTGAGAGTAGGGCATATCCTGTTGTGTCACAAGCATCTTATTTCATTAACAGTTGAAGGGGAAGCAAACAAACAGACAGAACACATGAAAACTACAAGTAATAGAGATTAAGAGGGTTGCCAGCATTACTTGTGATAGAGAAATGGAAAGATACAGATATTAGTGTGTGGAAATAAAATGGAATTTGAAGAAAAATCTGTGAGAGATACCTTAGGGAAAAGCTTGGCGATAGAAAATTTGCAATTGATAATGATTATAAAAATGCTAGTGCAATTTTGAACTGCATATACAAAGACTTCTATCACAGCAGAATAGCGATTTTCTTCCCTCCAAACATGGCTTCTGTGTGGCTACACCTGGGAGGATTTTGCTTATTCTGAGCATACATTTTACAGAAAAATGCTGACACATAGAAGAGTGTTCCAGAGAACAATGATTTCTTTTCATGGACTAGGGACCTCTGATGGAAGAACAAACAAATATGCATATATTGTCAGATTAAATAAAAACAAGTATGTGTCTAAATACATTTAAAGCCAGTCTATAAATAGTGAAGAATATTATTGGCAAGAACCAAAAAAGAGAATTCATAAATTTTCCAGAACACTGGAAAAGGAGGAAGACTGTAAAGAAACATCTGTCTGGTTTCACATGCTGGAAGAGAGTTCTTCTATGCTTCTTCTAAAGTATTATCTTAAAATTTCGGGGTTGAAAATGATCTGCAATATGGATTAATTATTTGTGAATACACAAAACAACACAGCTCAAGAATGTCTAGCATCACAGTAAGTTGACTTCTACTGCTATTATCTAAGAACACAAAATTAGCCTTATAGCTGGCAAACAAGACTTGCATGGAATCACACTAGTGACAAAGGATAAAAACCCAGCTGTTAGTGGGTAGACAAATGAATTTTTTGGATCCACCATTTTGCAAAAGAATAAATGCAAAAGTAGAGAAGATAGAAGATAGAAAACTGAGCAGAACACCTGTATACATGAGAGAACTTTTTCCCTTTTGTACTGACCCACAGCAATAAGAGAAAATAAATTTCAATCTCACGATACCTAGTCATTGATAAAAATGCTGCAACATTATTCAGATTTTTTCACAAAAGCCAATGTATATTATTATCAACATTCTGTAAGAACTACCACTAAGATATTCTAGTTCCAAGGAAAAAATATTCGCATTTTGAAATATAAAACAAAAGTTTCCTAAATAAATCAACTTGGGCCATATGCACAGGTCTGATCTCTGTCCAGCAACAAACACTTTTTGAATCAACAAGCAGACTATGAGCACTTCCAGCAGAGGTTTAAAAACTACCCCCATAAATTATATGTAAAATAAGACTGCAAAAAAATGTGGTTGTATCTGCAAAATTAAGCCTACGCTTTGGCTTTTGTTCAAATGCAAACTACCACCAACTGCCATAATAAAGAATTCCAGCATTTACTAGTAACATCTATAACACAGTTTCTTTCAAATTCAGCCAACGGATTGCTGAATTTGCTATTTAAAATATCCACATGCATTTCATCACTACTAGTCGTGTAATCAAGGAAGTGAAGGATATCCACACTGCTTAATTAAACTGACCTTCACCACTCAAAATGTGAATCACAGGAACTAATTCAAAAGCTCCTCTCCATGGACTAGACTGAGGCTATAAATTTAGGGATCAGAAACAGGTAAGGGAAATCAGATAGTGCAAATATGCCTAAAGTAGTCTATTCCATTACACAAAAAATGTCATTACGCATCATTGAAACAACTGCAATAACCTGGTATGGTTCTGATATCATGTTTAAAAGGCAAAGGGAGTGGGGAAACCACTAATTTTTTCTGAAACTTAATTATACATTTCTGAGGTATCAAAAAACTATTTTTAGCTACATTATACTAGGCACTTAATTTCAGTTTTATCAATAATTACTAAATTCAATTAACATTAAATCTTCCGCAAATACTCTCAGGAACTACCTTTACCATGTGTGTACAATAGCAATTCTGTATCTATACTCAGAAAAGAAAGCAGAAAAACATGCTTTCTAATATAAAGTACAGGAAAATTAGGAGAAACAGGACTGAAACATACCAGCTGAAATATGACCCAAGGGACTACTCTTCCAATTCCCAGGAAAAATGCTAAAACAGCTTCCATTACCAGATTCAATTCTTAAGAGTTTTAAAAATCACATCTTTAAGATGACATCTCAACAGCACAATGTCATAATCACATCCTTTCATTATCAGCTCAGTGATGAGAGGAGAGCATGTTGGACCAACACCATACACAGAAGAGATTAAAACCACTTCCTACATCAATGCAAGTATTCCTAAAAGGCTTGCTATTGGACATTTCACATTGACATAATGAATTTTCCATTTTTAATTGGCTTTCTCATTGATCCAAAGACATAAAATACGGGGTCAAAGCTCATGCTTCTTAGTATGTTTTTGATACAACACATAGTGGCAAGCTAATTTTCTTCCCTTAAAAACATTTGTTTGCAAGAATGAACTAACACTTATCATTGCCATTTTTTACTACTGCCTAAGCTCAACGCTGCATGAAGCTTGATAAATCAGGAAAACTGAAGAAGAAATTCAGCCTCCTTCTACACAGTTCTGGTAAGACAAACTTCAAAACCATTAAGTTAGTTTGCAAGTAAGAGACAAATTTAACCAACGCACATTTCACTTTTGGTGGCTTTAGCACAGTGAATAACCTGCAAATTCAGTTTCACTAGTTAGCACATTGTGGTCACCTTCTACTCTTCCCAGTTCCCAATACACAGACCCTTAGGTTTTAGTTATTCAAGGTTTCTGGTATATAATCTAAGAACAACAGAAGTAATGAACAGGAGCATTTTCTTTACATGTTTCTTTAGTTACACAAATGTTCTACAATAAATTAAAAATGGTTTTAGATTCTGAATGAAAAAAATTTAAACTGCAGCCATGTGACAGAACACATTTGTAAGTAAAAAGTATCATAGATATGAACTGAAATCAACTCTAATTGAAAGTCTAAGCAATTGAAAACTTATATGAGTACTTAAGAGAAATCTAGGTATGTGCAATTATGCAAATAAACACCTCAGGTACTCAGTCTTAATTCTGCCCTTTAGTGAATATAAGCAAACCAAATAAAGTATGTGATTTTAAAAGTTCATATTAATCTAATTTGAAACCATAAATACCAAAATACTTCAACAGCAATCACACAGTCATTTCATATGACAAACCATGGTCGTGAGGTCATTAGGTTGTTTCCTTTTTTTCCCCCCCTTTACTTTAGCTTGGTATATGTGGAATGTAACCTGATTTTCTGTGCAACATTTACTGGTGCAGGTTACCTCCATCTTTGTGCTTTGTGTTTAGGTTTTTTTTACAATGTGGTGTCAAGCAAATCAATACTAACTTTGTATGGAATTTTTGCCCCTACTGTCTGCCTCTCACGCTCCAACCTGTAATGCAGTAGTTGTCAATGCAGTATTCTGCAATGGAGAATGAAAGGATCTCCCTTATCCCACTCTTCCTTGTGCAGGACACAGAAAAAGCTGCACAAGACTTTGCTTAGCAGTGTTGTGCCGCAGTGCTAAGGAAAATTATACCAAAAAGCCATTAGAATTTTATTTTGTAAGGGGACTGGACAATCATTATAAATACCACATTTTAGTTTGAAAATAGCTTTTGGTCAGAACCCCAAGTCAGATTAATTCTCTTGTGCTATACTCCCTTTTTTTTTAGTTCTGCTCCCAAGCTGTGTATCACAACTGTCTCCAGATGCTGCAAACAAAGTTACAGAGGAAATTTTTTAAAAAAAACACTCCCCTTCTCCAGACTCACACATTTACACATGAAAGGGCAAATTTTTCTATTCCAGGACTACCTCACCTCTGGAGTGACATCTCGTGGTGCAAACCCTGTTCCTCCGGTTGTTAAAATCAAATTAAGTTCCTTTTCATCACACCAATCTATCAGCGTCTCCTGAAAGAGAACATGAATCCTGTCAGATCTAGCAAGTAATATGTGGTATACAGTTATCTCAGAAAATACCTGAAGACTTTAAATATCTTAAAAATAAATACAGAGAATTGTAAAATCAATCACTCATAGCTTTTTATACAAAGATTTTAAACTGCTATTTCTACCAGCATAAGACAGAATAATGCAAATATCCATATAGTATTTTTCTAGAAATGGAAACTGAAATTCTGTTCTCCACCTCTTGACCTGAAATGGAAAACAAGAATTCACAGTTATTAATTTCTATCACCATTTATTTTGATATATGAATATAATATGTTTTGACATATATTATTAATAGATTATGTGCATTTAATTCAGATTACATCGTTGATTCTTGTTACAGTAACTTTGGTTTCCATGCTGCCCTTTTTAACAACCTGAAGAAAGCAGGAATCACATATTTGTAAGCTTAACTACTAAAAGATGCAATGATACACCTGAGACTGTAATACAAAAGATGATTTATAATAATCTCTTCTACATTGCCTGCAATATCTCAATAGGAGTGTGTTATGCACATTCCAAGGCTGGAGTAAGAAATCTGCTGTAAATTCCATGACTTGCAATACTGGATAACTCATGATACTAGTGTTTAATTTGATTTGCACTGATTTTTCAAATGACTTTTTAAACTAGTTTTCAAACTGTGATAAAAATTTGACATAAGCAGCAAATTAGTTCAGTCTCAATATAATTCTATCACTTTATCCTTCATAGTCTACTATAGGCTAGCACAGCAGCAGCATGTCTGGTTGCAGTGCAGAATTAGCTGTGTTACCTAAAGTACACTCATGTATTTCACAGCAAATTATCCATATGCAGGAATCAGATCAATTACTTAAACAGATCTCCTTATTCTAGCACAGACACATAGTTTTTTGAAAGAGTTTAGGGCACATCTAAGTTTCTGAATTTAGCTTCTGGGGAGCAACCAACAGTTTTGGTGATTGCTGGCTTGATGCTATTATTTATCACAAAATTTGCTCTGAGAAATATACTGATCTAAAAATCTTAAATAAAACTCTCCAGAACATTTTAAAAAGTACTACCAAATTAGATTAATCCTCAGTTGTACTTTCTGCAGGCTTAGTACTGCTATGTAACTTCCAGACCTTCTTCCCATCCAGGAGAAGGCTTGAATACTCCTACAAACGGCAGCATCACTCCACTGAAGGCTGAAACAGCCCTGGATACTATTAGACTAACACGATGCTGCGAGGCAAGAAGTCCAGGTGGCCTTACAGCAGATACTAAGTTTGTCCAGAGCTCTAACAGAATTTGCTCTGGTCATGTGAACTTCCATGAGTTCATGCAGAGACAGAAAGCTATCTGAACACCACTGTGTAAAGTCAGCCAAACTTTTTGAGATTCCCACAGGGTCACAAGCAGAGAAACAAACTGAAAGGCCTGATGAAATCAAGAACGTAACATCCAAAATTCAATTAAAGAAGCATAAGATCTGGAAATGAGTACTGAAGGACTAATTTCCTAGGCACTCTGGAACTTCGGTACCACTTCATGAAGGAATTCTGGATGACTGAAAAACAGATACTCGTCCATATATAGGTACTATGTAAAATAGCTGCCATAAGGGACCACGTACTTCAGTTGCTGGCTGAGAAAACACTCCAAATGTGCCTCTTTCATAAACACATGCAGAAGGAGTAAGCATGAGTAAGAATTTAAGGGCTCAAAATGGGAGAAGGAACCACTATAATGCAGTAGTTTTCTCAGGCTATTCTATCATGACCAATTCAGTTCATCCAGAGTGAACAGGAATTGATGTATGAACATCAGAGAGAACAACTTGGTACCCTCACCAAAGTACAGAAAGAAATCAAAGGAACTACACACAGGAAATATTCTGAAAGAGCTGATATCAAAGCAGCAACAAACATATACAGACAATATTGTTTTCTCACAGAGTATGCATGGGTAGATTATACTTTCATGCATGCTACTGGCTATCATTACTCTGGAGAGTAGCAAAAAATGACAACTCTAGAGAGTGATTAATGTTTTGACTTGGAAGGTCCTAAGATTACCACAGATTGAAGAAGAACCAGGGAAGAGCTAAAACACAATATTAATGGAGATGACAAAAGAAATCTCACATAGCTGCTTATGACTACACCCACTGTCAGAACATGGTGAAATCACAAAAAGAACCTCAAACAAGTTTGTCTTTACTGAATATTTCTCTGTATGTGTGCCAATTGTGGTAACTTACAATCAATACACCATAAAAGGAGAAAAACCATTTTGCAAGCCTAATGCAAGTAAAATTGCTGTATAGCTCTATTAAGGCAGGCATCTGTATGAGATGACAAAACAATGAGTTTTATTTTAGCACAAGCACAGGCAGTATTGCAAAGAACAGGCTTAAATCCTCTAAGGAATATCCCTGAATGAAACAGCAAAGGTCAATTGTATCCTCACAGAAATTTTCTTGGGAAAGTCTAGCTCATCAAGTTCAAAAGAATATACTAAAATGGGCCTGGATGGAATCTCAGTTATTCTCTCTTTCTCTCTGTCACGTTCAGGATTATATTGTCATCCCTGACAGACACCTGCCTTCAAAACATACTCTTATGGATCCATAAATGTTTTACTTTTAGACAAATGACCACTGGAAGAGGAGATAAATAAACTGGTATAAACAAAACTCCAAACTTCTGGAAGAAATGTAGAGATTTGGTTCAAAGCATCACATCTATCTAAAAAGGACTGTAAACAGAGCCAAACCCACATTCATCAGGGCTCACCACCTTCTGTATGCAACAAAGAACATCATTATGCCAAACATGTAGGACGGTGATGAATCAATCACATTACTATTCCAAATTTGAGTTAACTCTTCTATTTTAAATAGAAGTCTGAGAATCAGTGTAGGATGAAGACAATTTATGTGCAACCAAACTGGTGAATGAAGTGTTGAAATAGCTGCTGGATGTATACTAGGCTCACGAGTTTTCAATAACTCTAATATTCTAGAGTACTGAGAAACAAAGCCCTCACAGATAATGGATTTCACCTGAGGTAAAACCAATGCATTTTTGTAACATATGTAAAAGCTATGGACTGTTTTCTACCCTGAACCAAAATGTTCTGTATGCTTAAATAGTCAAATATGTTATCACACTTCACTGTGTGAAACCTGAGACCTCAATAATGCATGTATGAATGGTCTGAATGATCAATGTGGGAAAAAAGGCAGTGACTATAATGGATGCTCACAAGCTCCTGAATTCCAGGTGCTGATACTATTCAAGCCAGAATGCAGTGACTGTGGTGACTCAAACATTGCTTTTTCATAACCACGACAGAATAGGGGCATTGGTAGGTAAGCATAGATCTGAAATGCATAGACATAAAAACGTACCTCCCTACCAACTCAGATGCTCTTGCTCTCTAGAAAAGACAACTTTTCATTTCTTGATGTTTTAATTGATTCATTAACCTTTGGTGAATAATACTGCCAATACAATTGCCTATTTAAGTAGTCAGAGAAGTAACTGTGAAGAAGATGTGGCAGCATATTTTGAAGATCCTGAACATAATGGATTGAGATAATTATTTCATGTCAAGCACAACAATTCTATAGATGGAGTCATTACATAATGGTGGATCCAGCACCTTCCTGCTTGCTCCTACAGTGCACTATGATAGTGCCATTTGTCCAAAAATCATTGTTCCAATCATCAGTATGGATACAGAACAGCATTCCAGTACTGCCTAGCAACATTTACTAGAATCATCAAATATCCTAAAGATACTTCTCTTTTGCAATGAAGAAGCCAGCCTCACTGACATCGCTGCATCTTGGTAGTGGATTCTCCTAGCAGCTGAGAGATATTACGATTACTGTCTATCAGCTGTATTAATTCTCTAACACCTATTTTTAATGCGTAAATTAAATGTAAGATGTTTCCAGTCAACCAGTGCAAGAACAGGCCACATGGCCTAACAGCAGTTAATGGCAGAATCTTACTGTGATCTATGATTGTACCAATTTTAGATGACAAATTAACTTTCTAGTCTAATAATCAATGTCAGATCTAGCTTCCAGAAGATTAATAAATCATCGGTAAAGAAACCCCTTCAACCAAAACAAAGTAATGTTCTTTAGTTCTCTAAATATAAGGAGAATATGGACATCCTACTCTGATATATTTTTGGGACAGGGATATACAAACAATGAAGAGAAAGGTGTATGCAAGAAAAGAAATAAGACTGGAGTATTCTGGAACTGATTAGACGGTCTGCACTTCTCCATTAACTGTTGAGTAGGAGTAATCCTGGAGATCTTGAAAATATTCTCCAAAGCGCTAAGGAAAGGATAAAAATCAGTTGAGAATCATTGCTGGTTCTTAATGCAAACAACATGTTGACAGCTGTTGAAGGCAATGAAAAATAAATAACTGACCATTACAGAAAAAAGCTTTTTCCCTATGAGCCCTTGCTGTTTTGGACTTTCTGTGGCTTTGGGGTTTTTTTAAAATACAGAGCACAATAAAAGAATAATAGAATGCACTAGTAATAAGTTGCCTTGCTGCTTAGGTCATTGTTTACTCCTGAACTCTGTACAGTATAAGCATCCAAAGAATATAATGTAGTGAAAGAACCTTTTGACACTTAGAGACAATCCATTACTGAACTAAAACAGACATTCTGTTCAAAGGGAAGATGTTTTCAGGATTCAGCCTATGCAGAACATCTCTTATGGGTCCAAAGGATTATAGCTTTTACACAATGCTGGGTCAAAGCTGTTACCATAGAACTTGATGAGCCATTGTCTGCTTCCACTGCAGCTTGCAGAGCTGTCTTAGCATCAGCTGATCCCACTGCAATCAAATATTTCAACTATTATACCTGGGAGAAAACTGATGCAGAACAAGTCATATTACAAAGACTCCTTTTCCTAAGAGCTGAAACTTACTGGTCATTTCTCTTTTGGA